TCTCCACCCCATCGCGCCTCCTGTCCCTTAGGTAAAAATTATCGATCCGCGTTCTGCCCTCGGTGTAGTCCGCCAGATAGATGCGCACACTGGCGAGATATCCGACATGTCGGTGATGAACCATGGTTATACACTGGTCACTTGTGGCTGGTCCCGAATGGCCGACTCTTCCCTTCGTATGGACCGTCTTGCGAACGTAAGTTCCTCCTCTTCCCCACATCCCTCTCTCTCTTCTGTAATGACAAGCTCTTTTTGAGCCGAATTTTGAGTTTCTCGACCCTGTTCCTTTGTGTTGAGACGATATTCCGGTTGAAACTTGGCCTATTTTCATTTTCGTCTTTTTGGAGTACATTAAAGTATAGTTGTCGATGAGACAGCACTTATGCTACCTACATAGCAGACGCGGTAGCAATTCATGTTTTTTTTTAGAATTTGTTCTTGAAAGATTATCTTTGAAAAGAAACTTTGTCAAATGCTGGATAGTTTTGAACACAACCTGCTGTAACACTTGCATCCGGAGTTTTCTAAACTACAATCCAAACATTTCTCATGTAAGGAAAATTATACACGCTATTAAAACATGTTATATGGTGGTCATTACGTTGTCAGTGGGTGGGTACCGTGTTGTACTCTTAACCAGCAACACTACTAAATGGGGAAACACTATGCTTTGTGAATGGACATTTACCGGTCTCAAGAAAGCTCATAATTACAAACCGAAAAATCCCTTCTTTGAAGATGACATACTTTCCAACCAAATGAGTATAAGAAAGAATATTTTCATGTATGTTTTCTAGAAAATACGTATGACTGTACATTGGCATCGGAAAGCATTGAGAAAGTGCGTATTATATAAGTTGTCAATAAGGAGTTGGGTATCTCCAGCTGACGACGGTGAATAAGCCAGAAAGGGCCTTCCTTGAAGTCCCTGTCTTGACGGTAAAATGTCCTAAAATAATAAAAATGTTACTGAAATATGGTAAGTAACATTACAATTTGCCATGTGGAAACGTTCGTGGGATCACGAACACACATGGACATCAAAAACCAGGGCGGGTATGTCCTGTAACTGATCGGTGTACGCCTATCTACCAATATAAGTAGTCACTATCAACAGTGGCTGTACATACAATGCTCCGTCGTGTTGTTGTAGCCGTGACTTGATAGATATGAGTAAAAAGACACATGGGCAATTGATTATCTCGCATTCCCTATAATTGTCGTCCTTTTACTGCTCCAGCGGTTATCTCAGAAGCTGAACTCCTGCACCAGTTAGGAGGCTCAGAATAATATTTAAAAAACTGTTTTAATGCTTGACCAGTCTTCTCCTTTATCCATGCAAACACCTGGAACGCGAACCTTTGCATCCATTCATGAAAAATTATTTTTGTGCATGTTTTCTCCCAAATATATTTGACTCCCATCGAATCTCTTATGTTGTAGTCTGAGTATCGTTGACCCCTGCAATAATCTAAATGCCTGTAGGTATACGATCTACGCATGGGACGAACACAGGAGTGCATGTCTTCCCTGGTGGACCCAAGTCTTCTCTCTTACTCCTCTGCCTGCCCCAATTCCTTCATCGTGGCCTCTCAGACTGGTTCCTTCCAGACTCTGGAATGGGGAGGACGCAACCTCTCCACGGAGA